TTTTTTTTTTCAACGTTTTTATTTATTTTTGGGACAGAGAGAGACAGAGCATGAACGGGGGAGGGGCAGAGAGAGAGGGAGACACAGAATCGGAAACAGGCTCCAGGCTCTGAGCCATCAGCCCAGAGCCCGACGCGGGGCTCGAACTCACGGACCGCGAGATCGTGACCTGGCTGAAGTCGGACGCTTAACCGACTGCGCCACCCAGGCGCCCCAACTGCCACCTTCTTGTAAGTACTCCCTGTTCCCTGGGAAGCTGTATCTAGAATGAAGTATGGGGTCAAGGAGAGGATTATTGTTGCTGCTTTTGCAAATGATCCAACGCTTGAAATAATCCAAGGTGAGGAAGTTAAATTTTATGCCAGGGGAGTGAACATGGCACAGAGGCAGAGAAGACACCTAACTCTGGGTACCTGAGTCCCCACTGAAATTCCTAGAAGCAAAGAGATGAAACTCCTAAGTTTTTAAGGGACTTCTATTGCCAAAGAAAGCCCCGGGTTGTCTGACAATAGCCTACATGCCTAACCCCTAAGCCTTGACCTTGGTATTTGTTACATCAGGAAGTGGATCACAAAAGCTGTGCTTCCCAAAAGGATCACATTTCATCTCCCAGTAAACATGTCAGGGGTGACTATGGAGGAAATTGAACAGGAACATCGTTCCGATAGGAGAATCAATGAATGTCAAGTTGGCTGGCCAAAGAGTCATTCCACTGCCTGGGCAGAAGGTTCTTACCACTTCTGTCCAGCAGCAGGATATACTACAGCAGTTCATCTCAAAGCAGAAAGATCTACCTGAATAAGAAAAAGTGAAGGGTGTTACAGTTGTGATATTACAAATAAGAAAAAAAGTTCCAAAGGTGAAAGAAGTTTTCTAAACTTTCAAATGAAAAAATAAAGGTGGCATTAGCATTCTATTATCTCTATAATCATTGAATCAAGAAATCATTGTCATATGACTAGATGATTAAAGAAAGAGACAAAATGTAGTAAAATAATTGAGTTAGGCGCTTAATAAACATATTCATTATACAATAGTATATTATTTTTATTTTTGCTCTATTTTTTGATACTTGGGGTATATGGCAACCTTTTACATTTCATAATTTCTTATGCTTTTTTCTCATTCTGGGTAAATAGTGCACTGTATGCCTAATTCTGTATTTATAATTTAGTATTTTTCTTAAATAAGGACTCCCAAATTGTGTACGCTCAACCCACAAAGCCCTCCCCGAATCTCTCCCTGATTCTCTCTCACTAGATCATTCAGATCTGAGGGGAAATGCTGTCCATCATCCGGAGATCTTGGAGCTGGGGCTGGACATCCAGCTCAGCTGGATGAGACTGAGCATGTGAGTGAGTTTTTCATGTACGTGTCTAGCTTGCCGAAGTGTATGTGTGAGAAGACAGGTGGGTACATACAATGGGAACCACAAGATTATTGTGGTGAACACCATTGTTTTCTCACTAAGCAGCCATTTCCCCTTCTTTCCTTCCCAACACAATCACAATTTTATTTGGTTATCCACCCTTCTCCTCATAACACACAGTAAACTAACTGGCTCCATCCTATAAGCCTGGGGGTAGATTATGATTAGTTAACAAAGAAGTACATGGCATGTCCTGTGCAGGTGTTATGGCTCAGGAAATTCAGGAGGGGGTACATGTGTGGACTTTGTCCGTCCAAGTGAAGGAAAGGACTAGCATTCCACAATTCAATGGAGATTACCCGGGAAGCTCGCTTCTCCAGCTGTAGCTGACAGCCAACACAGAACCATGAGACAGACCAGCCTTAGAAACAATCTGATGTTGCGAACGGCAGTCCAGATGAATGGAAAAAAACACAACCCCACCATGATATGGTCGACCTTCAACTCCACCAACCCTGAATCCTGCCTTACCGCTTGATCTGTTATGCAAGATCAGTACGTTCCTTTTTTTTTTTTTTAAAGCCAGTTGGCGTTAATATTTGTTGCATTTAAAACCATCTTAATTAATACAGTGTGTGGCTTCGATTCAATATATCAAGGTTCTTGTCAGTTTGTTTTCTTCAAACCATATCATTCAGGAATTTTACAATTTCGACACAGCACATTTAGCTAAATTATACTTTTTAAAAAAATATATACTCTATATTTCACTGCTATACCATTTGTGCTGATAAGATTGCTTTTATAACTCATAGCATTGAAAGTACATGCATTTCCCTCCATCTTGATGATACTTGGTGTAGTGTTCCTAGTTAACTTCCCACATCTTTTTCATCTCTGAAGTAGCACATCGATTGTTAATCTTTAATAGTTTTTAGTAGCTAATTAAACTGCTACACACTTTCAGACTTCCTTGAAGGAAAACTACTTATTTCCTTTCTGAAAAAAAAGGACCAGAAACTCTATTTTTAACTGTTTTTTTTTTTTTAAATCTAGAGAACGAAAGTAAGCTTCATCATTGTTTCTGTAAATAGCCTAAAGGTAAGATGGCATGTTATGAGAGATCTAAGCAATTCACCAGGAATCGAAGGATCAATTTCCCTTAAATTGTTTCTGCACAATGCAAGCAGCCAAATTCTGCACGGTTACTGTGCTCCCAAATAATCTGGGACAGATATAGGGTGCTGAAGACTAGACTGGCCACGGAGGTGATGTGAAGGAGGCATGAAAGCAAATCGCTTTCCCAGTAATCACGCTTGAGCCTTTAAGCTTGGATCAGATTCCTCAGGGATTGTGAAATCTAGGCCTCTGACTTGCTAAGCTCGCCAAGAAAGATAGTGTGTTAGTTTCCTCTTTGAAACTGCCAGGGTCCGAAATCCCTTTTCTCAACAGCACCCAATTCGAGGGTTATACCTCCTGTCAGCCAAGAGGCTCTACCTTACGCCTCCTTGAAGTTTCTTCTTTCACTGACATCAATTCTTGTCTCCTTTTGTTCTACCCGACCCCCACCTCAGTAATGGACCAGAAATGATCCCAAAATCCTATGTAAAGCAGGAGGTAAGTAACCCTTCTCTTTATACAAGGCAAAGCTGGAAACCTTACTAGGCTGTTTTCTTTCCTTTTTATAATTTTAAAGTTTATTTATTTATTTTGAGAGAGAAAAAGACAGAAAGAGAGAGAGAGAGAGAGCATGCACACAAGCAGGGGAAGGGAAGGGGCGGGGGGACAGAATCCCAAGTAGGCTCCACACTCCATGTTGAGGCCAATGCAGGTCTCCATCTCATAACCATGAGCTCATGGCCTGACTCGAAATCAAGAGTCAGACACTTAACCAACTGAGCTACCCAGGTGCCCCTCTATGTGCACGTTTATGCGCTGCTTTCTTACGATTAACATCTTGGTAAATATTTGTCCTGCATGATAGTCAATATTCTTAATCTGAAAACATTTTCAGAGCTGCATAGGGGGTCTGTCATGAGCATGTATTTATTTAACCCCCTCCCCAAACTTCAGCTATTATAAAGAAATATTGCAATGCATATATATGGGCACAAATCTTTACCTGGCTTTCTGTTTTCCCAACAAAGACTCCAGAAAGAGCAATTGCCATTTCACAAGACCTGGAAGCTCTATAGCATATTGGTTATGGTTGGAGGTTCTGGAGTCACAGATAGAGACTTGAATCTCAGCTTAGCCATTCTTTAATGAAAGACTGTGGGCAAGTACATAAATCCTCCAAGCCTCAGTTTCTTTATCTGCAAATAGATGAAAGAAGTCTGTACCTGACAGGAGTGTTATTAGAATTAAATGAAATGATGCATGTACAAGTAGAGTCTTTTTTTTTTTTTAATTTTTTTTTCAACGTTTTTTATTTATTTTTGGGACAGAGAGAGACAGAGCATGAATGGGGGAGGGGCAGAGAAAGAGGGAGACACAGAATCGGAAACAGGCTCCAGGCTCCGAGCCATCAGCCCAGAGCCCGACGCGGGGCTCGAACTCACGGACCGCGAGATCGTGACCTGGCTGAAGTCGGACGCTTAACCGACTGCGCCACCCAGGCGCCCCTCAAGTAGAGTCTTTGACACATACACAGCACTCAATAAATGATGTAAGAATTGCTATAGCAGAATAGGAAAAGAGTAACAGAACATCTATCTCTAGAATTTGAAAAATCCAGAGGCGTAGAAAGAAGAAAATGTCCATCGCCTATATTATATTAACTTTTCGCATGTTGACATGTACTTCAAGTGTTTGTTTTTTAAATTACTCAAATATGATATGACTACACTCTTCCTTGTGAAAAGGACAGTGCAGATAAGTAGAAAGAAGAGGTATAACCTTCCCAATCTTTTTTTTAAAATTTTTTTTTTTCAACGTTTATTTATTTTTGGGACAGAGAGAGACAGAGCATGAACGGGGGAGGGGCAGAGAGAGAGGGAGACACAGAATCGGAAACAGGCTCCAGGCTCTGAGCCATCAGCCCAGAGCCCGACGCGGGGCTCGAACTCACGGACCGCGAGATCGTGACCTGGCTGAAGCCGGACGCTTAACCGACTGCGCCACCCAGGCGCCCCATAACCTTCCCAATCTTAACAGAGCCCCAAACTCAGTTGTATTCGTTTTCCTAAAATCACCTTTGTTCCGAAAGGTTGACTACCTTAGGACCATCATGTCAACTTCTACTGTCACCTACACCCTAAGTCACTTACCTGGGCCTCAGTGATATCAAAATGGACGTCAAGCCCACTGCTCCCCTTCACGTTTGCTCTCTTGGACCATTTCTTCCCATTCTGGCGTGGAAGCACATCATTGTCTCGGGTCTTCTCAAAAAGGGACCTCCGTTCTCTGTTGCTGTTGGAACGAAGTGGGAGCAGTCGGTCAAGGTCTTACAGAGGATCCTCAGCTGCATCGCTGTCAATAGGCCTCCTCCCGGGGAACACTCACTTAGCTCAGGTGAACCCAATAGTCCATGGCTGGCCTTCATTCAGATTTACAGGTTCAGAGACCTGATTTTAAGCAGGAGAACTTCCTCACAGGGACAAATTCCTACCACTCCAGCTTTTGTACCCTGAAGTATACTCAGGGCTAATTGTTGAATTTCCAATGAAAAATATCACTCTGCCTGGGTGGCTCAGTGGGTTGAGCATCCGACTTGGGCTCGGGTCATGAACTCATGGAGCGTGGGTTTGGGCCCCATGTTGGGCTCAGTGCTGACAGCTCGGATCGTGGAGCCTGCTTCGGATCTTGTGTCTCCTCTCTCTATTGCTCCCCTGCTTCCACTCTGTTTCTCTCCCTCCCTCCCTCCCTCTCTCTCTTCTCTCTCTCTCTCAAAAATAAAGATTAAATTTTTTTTTTTTTTAAATTATCACTCTCCTTGTGACAGCGGAGTCCTGTCTCTCCAACAGAGAGAGACACACAAGAATCCAAATTTAAGTTAGAAGCTGTTTGCACATATAAAATCAACATTAAATGCTCTTGGAACATACTGCCCAGTATGGTACCAACTTAAAATTTCACCGGTTGTCTATCAGTGCCTGTGTTAATACATTCTTGTCTACATTGGTCATCAGTGAAATATTTTCAGTTAATTTGTAGGCAAGCACCCATTCTCATTGTTTCCACTGGCATCAAATGACATTGTGAATGTTCTTTCCATTTTCTGGGGGTATTAACAGTATTATGTCAATCAATGTCACATACAGTTCTAATGGGGGGACGTTAGTCTTTGTGAGGCTCCACAGTAAGACAGCTGGACAGAACTGAACTTTACAGCTTTATGTGAGGGAGAGCTCACTGGACATCCCTAAAGTAGGGAAACTTTTTACCAGGGAAAAATATGAAAACACTCAGATTCCGAATCTGACTTTAAAGCACCAGGTTATGACCCTTTCTAAACCACATGCATATCCTATGCATGAAATACTAAAGCCCAGAGCTTTGTTTGGGCCAACTTTGATCCATCCATAAGCACTTTGGTCAGAACAGATGAGTCACTCCTATTAGCTGTTATCATGGAAAAGAGAGATTAGGGTTTGGGAACAGAAAAGAGAGAAGTGGAATGGAGGTTTTTGGTAAAGACTTGGGAGGAGAGAAAAAAACTGAAGGAAGCCAACCGAAGCTCAGACCTATGTCCTGATGTCTCCTGGGAAGACAGAGCTGAGTACAAATCTCTAAGAGCATACTGATGGGTATGCTGTGCATCCGGCTCACTCCCTGGCACTGCAACAAGACCAGGGAGATGGGAGTCAAGAAGTCTGAGTCATCTCATCAAAAAGGAATCAGACATTTGGGCTAATAATCAAATAGAAAAAAATGATATGGTGTCTGTGAGGAAGCATAATGAATTTCCAGACACTCTTCTGAAGCTCTAAGGAAGGGTCATATTAAAATTTTTCCATGCCACATAAATTAATTGCATAGTAGTGATTACTGTTAATTTAAAATGTATTAGATGAAGTTGATATTCTTTTTATTGGGTTGGGTTAGATTTATTTCACATTGATGAATGTGGAAGTTTTATAAGGGTGTTCGCAGAGTTTTCTGTGACATTGGTCCTCTTAACTCTTTTTCCTATGGTCTTAAGATCCTCAACCATGCATTTTTTTTTTTTTAACCATGAAAGTTTTTAGACAAGGGTCTCTATAGTGTGAGTGAGGCTGGATTTTCATGGTTTTCTTCTTCCTGGTGTGATTTCATTCCCACAAGTACCAGAGCGTTAGAATCTAGTCATCACAACGCAAGCTTGCATTTCCATTTTTCTCTTAGGAGACTTTGGAGACCATGGGTCCACAGTTGCTTGCAGAAGAGACCCCTTGGGTAGATGGGTGGGGACTTCTTCTTGCCTTCTCATCATCTGACTTGCTCAGTTTCCTCAGTCCATTACTCTCATTTGCCTTCACATTGATTTTCTAGCATCCCTTCCTGCCTCCTCAACACGCAACCCCCACCTTGTCCATAGTCATTCCACTTCTCAGAGTGCTCCAGCACTATTAACTTCTGTCTCACCCATCCCTGCCCTGAGTTAGCCTTCCTGTCTGAATTCTAGCTAGTCCCAAGCCACTGAGCATCACTGGACAAAGTCCCAAAACAAAGGGACGAGTCAACATGGCAGACTGGTTAATTCATGTGCTTAAGCATCAAACTGATTATGGCTTCAATGAAAAAATGAGTGTTTTTAATTATGTGACCTTAGGCGAGTCACTCAGCCTGCCAGAATTCCAGCTCCTCATCAGATATAATAAAACAGATATAATAAAAGCACCTACTTAGAATATTAAGCCAGGTGTCGGGCATACAGTTGGCATTCAATAAACACCAACTGTTGTTACAGCTACATGATGATGGTAATGAACCAGATACTCTGCTAGGCACTGCACTATGTCACTTAACCTTCGCGGCAACTCTTTGAAGGTGGTGGTGCCGCCATTTTAGAGATGAGGCAGATGAGGCTCCCAGGGTAATTGAAGAATAACTATCAAGCAGTGCTGCTGGTTCACAACTGCGGGCTCCAAAGCCTTTTTTCTTTCTCCCAAAGTACACTGTGCTCTCAGTGTCCATTGTAAAAGGAAATAGAAAGGTTTTTCTTAAGCCACCGTTTTCTGAGTTAAATACCAGGGACTGTGCTGCCTGCTTTCCTTGCAGCATTTCATTTCAATCCTCACTACACCTCTCTAACTAACGATGCAGCTATTAATTATGTATATAACTTTAGAAAACCTATTCACAAGCTCAATGAGAGCTTTCTGCACAAAGAAAAATCACTTTTCCTGTCCAACACGGGCAAAGTTCTAGTGGCTGTTGGTGCCACTCGACCCTTCTACATGCCTAACCGGTGCTGGCCGCCAGATGCTGCAATTCCTACTTCCTTCTCCCCTCCCCCACCCGCCGCCCCCCCCCCCACCCCGGCTCTACTACTGGCTTATTTTGTGCTGTTTTCCCATCCCCCTTACGTTGGGGCACTTTGAATAACTGCCACACAGATGCCAATGTTTCAGTGGTAAGACTGCAATTAGAGGGAAATTAACAAGTATGTCAATAGTGATGCATAATGGAAGGATTACTGATGTTTTCCAGTTAGATATTGTATTTTGTTTCATTGTGGGATTCAAATTAACTCATCAATATTGGATGGCATATGATAAATAGCTCTTCTAAATAAAGAATAGAGATTCTTCCTAAGCGCCAAAGAGATGAGATTTATGTACCTGCTTGGGAACACCTGCCCTGGGGCTTTGTGCAGGACCGGGCCTGACTCAGGGCAAGTCGTCAGCACGGCAGTGAGGCTGCTCTCCTGAGTTCACAACTGCTCTAATATAATTCAGGTGGGGTCCTAGTGGAACAGTTAGCTGGGGTACTGACAGGGGGACAAAAGTCCATTTGCACGAGGAACTGAAGGTCCTTCTGCAAAAACCCTCATCCAGAGGGAAAGTGGAGCCAGGCTCCACGAGCTTCACCCAGTGATCAAGCTCTGTCACTGGAGTGGGGTGTTGCACTGACACTTAATGTCCTGAGTCTGGCCTCGTCCTCACACATTCACGTCTGGGTTTTAAAGAGAGAGGACTTGGGGTGCCTGGGTGGCGCAGTCGATTAAGCGTCCGACTTCAGCCAGGTCAGGATCTCGCGGTCTGTGAGTTCGAGCCCCGCGTCAGGCTCTGGGCTGATGGCTCAGAGCCTGGGGCCTGTTTCCGATTCTGTGTCTCCCTCTCTCTCTGCCCCTCCCCCATTCATGCTCTGTCTCTCTCTGTCCCAAAAATAAATAAAAACGTTGAAAAAAAATTAAAAAAAAAAAGATAGAGAGGACACTGTCAGCAAATAGTGAAAGCACTATATTGCTACAATAAAACAAAAACAAAACCCAAAGTGGGTAGCTTTTTTGAGACAAGTTACCACCCTAGGACAGTGCAGAGATGCTCCCCCTGTCAACCCAGACTACCACATCTCTGGCACCTCAAGAGTTCATGGTGCTGATGGTCCCATGCGAGTTGGTGAAAGTGGCAGCAGTGGATGATGGAAAATGACTGTGTTTAATGGAAAAGTAGAGGCAAACCCGGCAGGAGATGGCAGAGAGGTCTGGACGAGGCAGTAGCATTCAGTGGGCTGGTGGTACCCAGTCAAAAGGGACAATGGTTTGTGTCAGTTACCTACAGTGGCTGACTGAACTTGCCAGAGTACACATGTGAGGCCCCCCATGGTACTCCCAGGAATAGTGCAGGGACTTTATAGGAAGTTGCAGCAAAGGAAGAAAGAGCCTGGGAAAGTTAGCTTATTGTTGTAACCATGGCGATCCAGCGAGGTCTGGCTCTCAGGTTGCAGGGAACTACAGCACAGAATAGTACTAATTATAGGGGCACTTGGGTGGCTCAGTTGCTTAGGCGTCCGACTTCAGCTCAGGGCATGATCTCACAGTCTGTGAGTTCAAGCCCCGTGTCAGGTTCTGTGCTGACAGCTTAGAGCCTGGAGCCTGCTTCACATTCTGTGTCTCCCTCTCTCTCTGCCCCTCCCCTGCTTGCACTCTTCCCCTCTCTCTCTCTCTCAAAAATAAAGTTTAAAAAAATTTAAAAATTTTAAAAAGAGAATAGTATTAAGTATAAAAGTGTGTACCACAAAATGTATCAAAGGCCTAAATATAAGACCTGAAACTAAAGTTCTTAGGAGAAAGCGCAGGAGAAAAATTCACAGTACCAGATTTGGCAAAGATTTCTTGGCTGTGACACCAAGAACATAGGCAATAAGAATAAAAATAAACTGGACTAGATCAAAATTAAAAACTTACTGTGCATCAAAAAACACAATTACCAGAGTAAAAAGGCAACCTATTAAGTGAGAAAAAAATATTTGCAAATCATGTAGCTAATAAGGGGGTTAGTATCTAGAATATATAAAGAACCCCTACAACTCTGCAACAACAACAACAACAACAAAATAACCAATTTTTTTTTAAATAGGCAAAGGGTTCGAATAGACATTTCTCCAAAGATATTTAGGCCAACCAGCATACGCAAAGATGCTCAACATTACTAATCATCAGGGAAATACACACTGAAATCAAATGAGATATCACTTCACACCCATTAGGATGGATATTGCAAAAAAAAGAAAAGAAAAGAAAAGAAAAGAAAAGAAAAGAAAAGAAAAGAAACAGATAATACCAAGTGTTGGCTAGGAAGTGAAGAAATTGGACCCTTGGGCACTGTTGTGGTGAATGTAAATTGGTACAGCAGCCACTATGAAAAGCAGTATGGCAGCTCCTCAGAAAATTAAAAATAGAATTACCATATGAGATGCGCCTGGGTGGCTCAGCTGGTTGAGTGTCCGACTTCCGCTCAGGTCACAATCTCACAGATCGTGGGTTTGAGGTCTGTTAGTGCAGAGCCTGCTTCAAATTCTGTCTCCTTCTCTCCCTGCCCCTCTTCCCAGGTCTCTCAAAGATAAGTAAATAAAATTTAAAGAAAAAAAAAAAAGACTTACCATATACCCAGCAATTCCACCTCTGGGTATATGCCACAAAGAATTGAAAGGAGGGCGTTGAAGACGTATCTGCTCAGCCATGCTCACAGCAGCACTATTTACAATCGCCAAAAGATGGAAGTAACCCAAGCGTCCATCAGCAAATGAATATACAAACAAAACGCGATGATCTCACCTTTGTGAGCTTGGGCCTCACATCAGCCTCTGTGCCAAGAGTGCAGAGCCTGCTTAGATTCCCTCTCTCTCTCTCCCTCTCTCTGCCCCTCCTCCACTTTCTCTCTCTCTCTCAAAATAAAAAAAATACATAAACAAAATGTGATGCATATACACAGTTGAATATTCAGCCTTAAGAAGGAAGAAAATTCTGGCACAGACTACAATATGGATAAACCTTGAGGGAATTACATGAAGTGAAATAAATCACGAAAGGACAAATACTGTAGGATTCCAATTATGGGAGGTATCTAGAGTAGTCAAATTCACAAGGACAGAAAGTAGAATGATGATTGCCAGGGGCTGGGGGGAGGGGGAAAGGGGGGGTTGTATAGTTTCAGTTTGGGAAGATGGAAGAGTTTTGGGGATTGGTTGTACAACAGTGTGAATAGATCCAACAAAACTGAAGTGTAAACTTAGGGAGATGGTAAGTGACGCAGCGTGTATTTTAGCACAATGTTTAAAAACGTTTATTTCGGAGAGAGAGAAAGTGCACATGGACATATGTGAGCGAATGAGGGGCAGAGAAAGAGAGGGAGAGAGAGATTCCCAAGCAGGCTCTACGCTGTCAGCACAGAGCCCGATGTGGGATGGACTTGAACCCACAAACCGTGAGATCATGACCTGAGCTGAAATCAAGAGTTGGATGCTTAACCGACTGAGCCACCGAGGTGCCCCACATTTAAGCACAATTTAAAACAAAATGTGTGCCAACCTGAGGGCAGTATTTGGAAACTAAGCTTTTCTCAATGTCATCTGAGGTCAGGGTGGTGGAACATCGGTTCCTTCCCTCACCCTACCCAAACTGTTCACGAATGCCTAGCTTTAGAGCAGTGCTTCTCAACGGGGAGAGACTGACCATGTTTGGAGACGTTTTTGATTCATGACTAGGGTGACACTGCTGGCATCTATGGGCAAGAGACCAGGGATGCTTCTAGACACCCTACAGTGCTCAGGACAGTCTCCCAGAATGAAGAATCAGACAGATTTCAGACAGATTTTCATGTACCCCCAGAAAGATGTCTCCAAAGCGTCATCTATCTCGTTTTGTCCTCAGCGAAGATGCTCCAGATCAGCCATCATCTTTCACTAATCTTCTGAGAGCTGAAGCCTGCGAAGAATAAAAGGAGAGAGCTGTTATCGCTGCAGGCATGCGGTGATTCTGTCCTGGCTCTGGGTGACAATTTTATCCACACGTTCCAGGTTGCTTAGTCACACACTCAGCTACATTGCACGGATGTGGCCTGTCCCTGTGTGAAATCCTCTCACTAACCTCTCTGTGAGCTAGAGAGGCTTCAGGGGCTCGCCTCTGAACGACTGTCCAGAAGGAAGCTGGGTTGAAGTATCTGACTGTGTGATTCACAATGGGAAGTATTAGTGTAACAACGACAAATGCCGTTGACCCAAGTGTGCAAATTCTCAAAACCAGACGATTCAAACAGGCAACCAGTTAAATTCCTGCTCTTTGGTGGCTCCTGTTTAGGTGGACACGAGGGGCCGTGTCGGCATGAGGATAAACCGTTTCTCCAACGTGGCAGAACGCAAGGATAGGATGCCTCTTTCCTTTTTCCCATCATAAGGTAATTATAAGTGCAGTAGTTTAAGCTAATTCTAAAATTACTTATCTCTAAACTGGTGAGGCTGGAAAGGTGAATTGTGGCAACCCCTAATTGTTACAGACAAAGCACAGAGGCCCAGAGAGGGGAAATGATTTGCCTAAAGGTAAGTGAGCTCGTAAGTCAGGGAGGGCTTTCTACCCTGGAGGGTGGCGGGCCACGGCATCTGACGCCTGGATTCTCATGCTGTTTCACTCACCGTCAGAGCCTGAGCAAGTCAGGATTAAATGACAGAGAACAGATACAGTGTGTGTCACATTTAAGTGGCCAGTGTGTGATTTAATACTATTTGAACTCCCCAAAGTCAACTATAAGCCCCAATAACGTTAGAGGCAGCCCTTTCTCCTTTGTGACATCATTCACTGCTGTGCACGTAAGCTGTTTCCAACATTTTATGCCAACTGCAAACACCCAACATGTTTTAATTGCCTCCTATTCATTCTATCGGTGAGGGAGGGGTTCCTGCCTTGGGGTTACAGGGATGGCCTATCACAGAACATCTGACACTGGACAGATCAAGATCTACTAGTCATGCATACAGCCTGGGGAAAGAGGCCACAACATGACATATAGGGCCACAGGGGGGCTGCGTTCAGGAAAAGAGTGGACAGGCAGGGCTGTGGGAGTAGGCTTTGTAGCATCGAGAAGAAGGGGTGCCCCTTGGCCTCAAGGGAGGATGTGACTGACTTGGTTGAATGATTCTGCGGACTGGCAAGGACCTGAAACCCTCTACGCAGGGATATAAGCAAGGACTGCGTCTGGTGCCCTGGATAAGGAGGGTTATTAGGCCAGGGAACCTTATCCGCAGGAGCAGGGTGGGGAGGGAAGTGTGTGGGAAGGCCAGCAGAGGCCCTCTTGATTTAACCAGATGTCAAGGCAGCACATAACACCGAGCCTTACTCGAGCCTCATACCACGTAGCAAAGCTGGAAGAATTTTATAGTGAAAAACTACACAACCACCACCCAAATTCTAGCAGTGACACTCTACTTGTTATATTACATATTCACCCATCTCTCCATCCCTCTTTCCATCAATTTATCTTATGTTTTATGTTTCAGAGTAAACTGCAAACAAAAGCATACTTCCTTCTAGATATTTCAGCATGAAAATCACTGAGTTGAATATCTGCATAGTTGTTTCTTTTGATGAGCATCTTGCAAATGATGAAATGCACAAGTTTTAAGTGCCCACTGTGAGTTTTGACAAGTGCATACACCTGAGTAACCAAAACCCCTATCGAGATATAGAATATTATTACCATCATCCCAGAAAGTTCTGTCATGGCCCCTCCCAGTTGATGCTTGCCTTCAGCTCCCTCAGAGGAAACCACTTTTCTGATCTAAGTTAGTTTTGTCTGTTCTCGAATTTCATATGAATTGCACACAACCTGACAATGTGTCCTCTTTATGGGAGTCTCCTTTCCCTCAACATACGTTTTCTGGGTTCGTCCCTGGTATGTTCCTTTTTATTGCTAGGTGGTAGTATTTCATTGCAGAAATACACTGTGAATATGTACTTTTTCATACATTCTTCTACTGAAGGACACTTAAGCTGCTACGTACGTTTAAATACAAGTCTTTCTATGGACATGTTTTCATTCCTCTTGGATAAGGCTTAAGATCACAGGGTAGAGGATATGAAACAGAAGGCCATTTTCAAAGTGGTGGTTGTACAATGTATGTCTCCACCAACAATGTATGAAAATTCCTATTGTGCCAAATCTTCATTAATGTTTGGTGTTGTCTGTCTTTTTGTAATTCATTCTTGAGTTGAGTTTGGAAACTGAGAAGGTGTGTGTGCAAGAAGGGAGGACTCCGGGGACCGTACAGAATTTTTGTAGAGCGTGGCCCCAAGCCTGTCGATTGTCATCAGACATTTTCCTGGCTGAGTCCAGGGCAGCATCGATCCCCTGTTCTTTGACATTTAAGAGCTGTGATGTCCCTGAAACCTGGCAAAGGTACTTGAGATATGACCCGAAGCTGCAGTGTTGGAGGCCACACCTATGCTGTTTGACACTTCGTGAAGGGTACTTTCTGCATGAGCTAACGACGTGCTGAGGCCTCGGGCCATGTCCGCTGGGGAGCCTGCGAACCTTCAGGGTTCACACACAGACAGCCTCTTGGCTCTCTTCAGTGGGACTGAGTCAACAAAAAGCTGGCTCACACTACCAACCTGTGGCCATTAGCAAGGCAGGTGAAAATGGATCTGACCCTCCTCTACCTTCCCATCCCTGAGGAACCGAGCAGCTGAGAGTGTGGAGGGGACACTGTAGATGCATCGGCAGAAGAAAAAGTGCCCGGAGCTCTACATTCTGTTAAAAGAAAACATTGGCGCTGAAAGAAACAAAGCAGGAAGAAAAAGAAAACAAGCACGTAGAGGTAGGGAATGGCGGTGTCTCTCAGCTCTGATCCGCTGCTAAGCTGACAATGCTCCCTGAGGAAGGGGCAAGGAGGGGAGAAAAGTGCAGCCACAGGTCCTCCCCCAAGTGACCCCAGGACTAAGATGGGCAGCAGTGAGGAATAAGCTGTGGCACACGCGATCACGGAACAAACGGGATAGGGCACATGGCAAAGATAAACATCGAGGCCGGAAGTAACCGGCAGGAGGAATTTGCCCTTGTCCTTCACGGAGGGGAAACATCACTTGGTTTTGACAGGCAGGGCCGATTCCGAAGGCAGGAGACAGGAGAGCAAAAGCCGTGGTCAGAGAGTGGTCCTGTGTGGTCAGTCATCCAGGGGGTGGGAGCAGAGGCACTCTGGGAACTTGAAGGCCAAGGTTAAGACCTTCAGTTTAATTCATTCTGCAATGAGGAGCCGTGAAAAATCAGGGAAGTGGTGTCCTGAAGGCTATGGCTTGGAAAGATGAGTCAGATTTCAAGGTAGGGCCTGATTAGCAGGAGATAGCTGAGGTCGTCACACCAGTGGGGAGGCAGTTAGAGAAGTCTACTGCAGCGAACCAGGTCAAAGGAGGTCAGGGCCCGAGCTGAGATGTCAGCAGAGCTGGAAAAAAGGAGATGGATGGGAGAGACGCAGAGGGTAAATACACTCCTGTGTTTGTTCACCACCAAAGAGCACAAGCAGGCGGCACGTCCCCAAGGACGAGAATGCTCCAAGTCAGTGTGGAAACCAAGGACCTGCCACCCTGCTGTGTCCCAGAGGCCGGCCTGGAAGAGTGGGCAACACGATAACTCGGCCAACCTCCACCCCGGCCGCCTCGTTCCTCCAGACGCAGAAAACACAAGTGCTGATGTGCAGTGGACGCACCTGCTGTTCCCTCACCCCCAGGGTCCAAGCAAGAGGAGGGAAAGGTCGATGGGAGGGGTGAGGGCGCTGTGTGCCATCCCCCCTCACGTTCTCTCTGGTGACTTCACTTCCACTGGTGCTTCTCCAATGTGTCCTCCTCCTAAAGACCCACAATGGTCATGTAACCCCCCCTTGTGTCCCCCGCCACCAGGCCCTCACTCAAACTGCCCTAAGGCTTCCCGTGGGTCTCAGGATAAAATTCCAAATCCCCCTCACCCTTCCACTTCTCCTAGTATCCTTCCTGTCCCTGCCCACTGCCTCCAGTCATGCTAATTCCCTTGAGCAAAGTGCTAAGCATTCCCCTATAATGCCCCCTACCTGGAAATACCCTTCACCCCCTCCCCCAGCCACATCCCACTCACCTCTTGGGCCCAGGGTGGCTGCCCTGCCCCTCACTCACCATCCAGTGTCAGCAAGATTCCCTCTATTACTTTCTCTCATAGCACCATTTCCCCCCTTTCCCGGCACTTATTGCAACTCGTAGTTATATAATTATTTGATTTTTAAACATTAAACGTCCATCCTCATTAGCTGGTGAACTCCATAAGGCAGAGGCCATGCCTGCCTTGCTCACTGCTGGCCCCAGGCCTTGTAGAGGCTGGGGCAGGTGCCCAGGGGCATGAACACGTTAGTAGAATGGATGTGTGAGTGAATCCTGAGCTCTGGCGTTCCATGGCCATCTCTCCAAGTGCAGCAGCCCGGGAAACACTGCTCACTGGAACCCGACTGCACGTCAGGCTCTTTTCTGGAAAGGAGGTTAGCCCTCCTGGAGGGTGCAGATGGTCACTTTCCTGGGAGTGGCTGAGTCTTCTCACAAGCCCTCGTGCGTGCTTACTCCAATGCGATTTTACCTGTGAATGTGAAAACTATGAGCGCTAAACATCTCCCTGGCCCTGCTAGGGAGGGGAACGGCTTCCCGGAAGCACCAGCAGGTGTAAAACAGAGATAAGTAAGTGGGTTTTTATCTTTACTGGCGTTGCACAGGAGCTGTGTGGATCCTACAATTCTAGTTAGCACGGACTTCGGAAGAGAAAAGCACTATTTTAAGGAGAGCCCTTCATATTACAATGGCATTTACAAAGTGACAGCTTCAACAGCTGTAGGAGTAGTATAAATAGTCTGAGACACAGCACTGCGCTATGACACCCCAACACATGCCCTTCAAGGGCCCAGTGGAGAAGGACATGCCAAAAATAGGGATCTGGCAGCTACTGGCACGTGTGTGATGCTGTGTTATGGAACTGTGACATACCTCAGCTTCCCCTTGAGGAGTGGGTCCAAGCTGGTACATATTTCGCATGTTTGCTTGCGTCATCAACACCCGGAAACAAAATCAGGTTAGACGGAGTGAAATCGTCCTTGCCAGTTGAATCAGCTGATGCTCAGGTTTATCAGAGCAGGGGTTCTCGGCGATGCTGCACATTAGAATTACCTGCGGAGTTTTCATAAACCCTGGTGCCCACAACACAGCCCGTAACGACACCCTCAGAATCTCCGGGATGAGGCTCGGATATGATCGTGTTTTAAACCTCCCCAGGTGATTGCAATGGGAAGCCAAGTTTGAGAAGCCCAGCGTAAGGGTTTTTGAGATTTGGAGAAATGGCCCGAACTAGTCAGGTATTTCTTGACTCCAAACATAAATCAAGGCCGCATTGCCAGTACTGAGTTGATTATATAAAAGGAGAAAAAGGAAAACTGATGCTGGCTGAACGCTTGAGTGGCAGAGACAGGGTAGGAGTTAAGAGCACTTAGTCTAAGTTCTTAACATCAACTCCTGGTTTTATTACTTCCCAGCTGTGTGACCTTTGGCAACTTGCTTAAAACCTCTGTGCTCTATTTCTGTCTTTTTTCAAAGCATAAGTGCAGCCCACAAATATTTCTATATTTACCTGCCTTGTGGACAACGGAAGGTCAGGGGCTGGGAAGAAGCCTTCCCAGGAAGGCAAAGAGTCCTCATGGGCCCAAGTGCATGAGGAGAAAGATCAGGCCACACGGACGAGGAGTCCAAGTACTTTCATGGGAACTACATGAGAAATCAGAGACATGGGGTCTTGTGCCTGAATTGAGGTTCTGACAGGACTAGAATTATTGCCTGCACTGAATGCCTTACATGCATGGGGGCCGAGACAAAACAAAGCAGGCAGAGCTATAAAATAGGATTTCAGGGGCGCCTGGGTGGCTCAGTTGGTTAAGTGTCCGACTTCAGCTCAGGTCATGATCTCACGGTTCGTGGGTTCAAGCCCCACATCAGGCTCTGTGCCGAGAGCTCGGAGCCTGGAGCCTGCTTCGGATTCTGTGTCTCCTTCTCTCTCTGCCCCTCCCCCACTCACGCTCTGTCTCCCTCTGTCTCAAAAATAAATAAACATTAATTTAAAAAAAAATAGGGTTTCATTCTGAAATGCATCCAATTTACAAATGCTATGTATACATATAAGCTTGGCACATACAAGGTTCTCTCCCTTTCCTCCCTGTCTCTCGGAATCGTTCTTTTTACGACACATAAGCTGAGTCTACATTCTAGAGTCTGAGTTATTTGAACCAAGAACATCCTTACCTTCTCATCACCTAGCTCAGCAAGGCAGAGACTCTACTTCTACTTCTGACTGCCACCCCAAGAACACAGGGCTCCCTCCCCACCCAGCTCCTAGTCAGGAGGTACGGCAAGGCTTCAGCTACCTTGCTTAAGCTAAGTCCCAGTTGAATGAGGTCGACAGGTGGGGGCTCCCTTCTTCCACCCAGTCCCCATGTGTGGAAAGGAGGCTCTCCTCCCCTGAGCATAGAGAATACTGATCTCATCACTGTTGACTGGCTCATGAGGTGGTGCCTCCATGGCAGGAGAGGCAGGCTGAGGGGACCCCAGGCTGCTAACAGCAACACACACACACACACACACACACACACACACACACACACACAGTGAATACTCAACTCCTAGAGTAAGAGTGTCACTTAGAGTGCAGCCTGTCATCGTCTCCACCTCCAGCTCTAGAGCCCCAGCTGAGACAGTTCCGCCTGAGGTGGGAAGCAGACCATCAAACAGGGAGCTCATAAGCTCTTTGCAAAGGAACTGACTTCATTTGCAACAGAGAGCTGAGAAGTTCAAAGGGGCCCTCAAGACAGAGGAGGTTGTGATGGAAATCGGCTGGGGGGAGATTGGTGGATTTAGTGAAGATACAGCCCAGGCTTTAGGTTGGCTGGTTTATAGTAGACACTCAGGGAATAAAAGAGCTGGGAGGAGCACCCCTGGGGTCAGAAGAAATATTAAATATTTCAGTTACCTGCGGTCAACGATAGTCAGGGAGCAGAGGTCCTCCTTCTGAGGCATCCGTGGAAGAGCAATACTAGCCTAACGCTTTGTCACAATGTCTGTGTCATTCCCCTCATTTATCTCACCACAAAGGCATTTTTCATGTCATGTCACCAACACAAGAAGGGTGAATACAGTACGAGGAGTTATTCTGAGAGAGGTTGAGAGAGAGAAACCACATTCCCATAATGTATTACAGTATATTGTTAATTGTTCTATTTTATTATTATTGTTGCTAATCCTAACTGTGCCCGATTCATAAGCTAAACTTTATCATAGGTATGTATATAGGAAAAAACATAGTATATATGGGGTTGCATACTGGTCATTTTCATGTGTCTATTGGGGGTCTTGGAATGTATCCCTTGTGGATAAGGTGGAGGGGGGGTACTGTCCCAACCTCAGAAACCACTCCACAATTTGAAAGGATTAAATACAAGCAATTTATGTGCAGGGCATTGTTTAAAGTAATAAAGCGTTCAATGGAATATACACCTGCATGTGATCAGGCAAAGAGAGAAAGGGAGGCCTACGGATACCACTGTTACCCCCAGGTGACCACGGGCATACCCAAAGCTGTGCGTTCCTGTGGAGTAACATCAGAGGCTTCATTAACACTGTGTTGTGTGTGTTGGGAGGGGGATAAATGTAACTACAATAATCCAGACAGTCACTACAATATCAACAAGCCAATAACAACAACAAGCTGCAGAGGAGGGAGACTAGCTTCCAGAGTTGCTACACTGAAAAACAAGAGGAGACAGCAAAAACTGCCTGTGAAAGATGAGATGTCAGACTTAGCAGCAAAAGACTTCAGAATAACCCTTCTAAATATGTTCATGGAACTGAAAGCATAATTAAAGAAGTAAAGCAAGATGTGATAACAATGCTCTATCAAATAGAGAATGTCGATAAAGAGACATAAATTACAAAAAAAAAAAAAAAGAGAGAGAGAGAGAGAGAGAACCAAGTGGAAATTCTGGAGTTGAAAAGTACACCAACAGAAATTAAAAAAAAAAAAAAAAAATCATTCGAGGTTGCAATAGTAAACTTTACCTGGCAGAGGAAAGAATTAGTGAACTTGAAGATACATCAATAGAGATTATGCAAGCCAAAGAACCAAGTGAAAAAAGTTGGGGGAAAGTAGACACAGCCTCAGAGAAACACGAGGGATACCATCAAATGCATCAACTGAGTATAAACAGAGTATCAGAGGGAAGGAGACAAAGGAGTAGGGGGAATATTCCAAAAATTAATGGCAGAAAGTTCCCATATGTATTGAAAAACAACCTGCACATCCAAGAAGCTCAATCAACTCCAGGTATAATAAAAACAGAGATCCACAAACAGACACATCATAGTAAAATTTCTGAAAATCAGAGACAAGGAGAAAGTCCCGAAAACAGCCAAGAGAAAAATGACGTCACTTACAAGAGGATCCCAATAAGACATATAGTTGACTTACCACTCCAGTAGAAACAATGGAGGCCAGAAGACAGCAGGATAGTATTCAAAATTCTCAATTAAAAAATCATCAGCCAAGAACGCTATATCCAGCCAAGTTATCTTTCAAAAATGGAGGGGACAAGCACTGAGTAATGTATAGAATTGTTGAATCATTATATATAACACTGAAACTATTATAACACTGGACATTAATTATACTTGAGTTAAAAAATGGTATTTGGGGCGCCTGGGTGGCTCAGTCGGTTTAAGTGGCCGACTTCGGTTCAGGTCATGATCTCGTGGTCGGTGAGTTTCAGCCCCGCATCGGGCTCTGCGCTGACAGCTTGGAGCCTGGAGCCTGTTTCGGATTCTGTGTCTCCCTCTCTCTGTGCTCCTCCCCTGCTTTCTCTCTGTCTCTCTCTCTCAAAAATAAATAAACATTAAAAAAATAAAAAATAAAAAAAACCCATGTATATAATGTAATGTTGGGTTTATAACATACCACAATGTAATGTGTGTGTACTATTCTTGCCAGTAATGGCACAAAGGAGGTAAGTGGGAGCAAAACTGTATTTGGATAAGGAAACCACTACAGATGGCAAAGCAACAACTATAACAAAGTATTTTTGTGTTTGTAACATTAGTAGATACACTATGTGTGACGCTATACCACAAAAAGGAGGTAAAGGGAATAGAGCTTTATAGGAATGACATTTCAATATAACACTGTAATTATGCTAGTACACATTTGAAGCAGGCTCTCCTAGGTTGATGTAGATAATAAACCCCAGAGCAACCACAGAAAACATAACTGAAAGAAGACAGGTGAAAAAACATTAAAGAAATAAAAATGACATTTTTAATTTACAAAGTGGGAGTGGAAAGACCTTAAAAGTTGGAAAAAGGTAGGGAATAACTTTAGGTTTTAGGGAGTTTGTTTAGACAGAAGGAAGGTGCTGGGTCTTCTCTGAACACGGCTGAGTTTCTTGGCAAGAAAGCAGGATTCTGAGGACCAAGGTATTTTCAAACTTCCTCTGAACACTACTCTTTTTTTTTTTTAATTTTTTAAAATGTTTATTCATTTTTGAGAGAGAGAGAGAGAGTGCACAAGCAGGGGAAGGGCATAGAGACAGGGAGACACAGAATCTGAAGCAGGCTCCAGGCTCTGAGCTGTTGGCCCATGGCCAGATGCGGGGCTCGAACCCATGAACCGCAAGATCATGACCTGAGCGGAAGTCCGACACTTAACCAACTGAGCCACTCAGGCGCTCTTTTATCTTGCGCAGTGAAACAGTCTTACTTTTATGTAAATAATCCCAAGTGGGAGACTGATTTACAAATATTTTTAAGCAATTTAGTAAAAATGGTAGTATTCACACTGTACTGATTTGAGGTTGAGTATATAAAAGGAAGAGGCTGTAGAAATCTGGTAATTGGTATGATCAACGTAACCTGTCCAACCTCTGAGAGAGTTTAGGTTTATTAGATGATAGTATCTTTCTTTCCCTCTAAAATGAGATTGTTTACCGCCCTGGCATTAGCAGAAAGTTCCTAACACTGAGGACACCAGCACAAGCTAAGTGTCTACTTTGATACTGCTCCTGTCTAAATGCATTAATATTTTCTGAAAGATGGAGGACTGCATAATTAACTGACTATATTTAGTGCTGAAGAGTTGCTATTGACATCTGTAGCACACAACTCTTAAAAAAACAATGATTGTTTCTCTGATAACCACAGAGGCAATTCTATCATTTTTGTAAACATCTAATCATGTAAGGAAAAAAATGAAAAGTAATATGCAGAAGCTACATGCAGAATATGAAAACAAAATACTGGGAAAAAAATCAAATAAGACCGAAAAGATTTGGCAAGTGAAATGTGGTCCTGAAGAAGTCACTATGTTACAAAATGTTACTTCTCTTTACATTATCATTTTAGTATAATCCCCCCCCCCCCAACAAAGCCTAATAGAATTTTAAGGGATATTTAAAGATGATTTATATATATATATGGGAAATCAGTGAGAGTGACTAAAAGGAATTTACAAAATAACAGTGAAGGGGGGCTTCTATTATCAGAAAATCAATGACATTAAAGAGTTACAGTTACTAAAGCAGCATGACACTTGCAGATGAGAATGGCTAGATATCCATGAATAAGAACAGAAAACTCCAAGAGAGACCCAAGGTCAGCACTGGTATAGATAAAGACACTACAGATCAACAGAGGAAGTTTTGTACTTTCCAGTAAATAGTGTTCAAATTTGCCTACATTTTTAGAAAAAAATTGGATCTTTATTTCATATTATTCACCCCAATGCATATTAATGCAATTAATGTAAGACCATGAGAGTAAGTAATGTAAGACCATGCAAAATACAGATGAATATCTGTTCACTTTGTGACAAAATACTTACTAAGCATAAAAGCAAATGGAATCAGAAAAAAATTCGTATGTTAGAGAAAAATTTCAAGCTTCAACATGTTGAGGAGTTTGGAAGTAGGAAAAATATCCGTAGCATTTACAACGGAGGGTTAATATTTTAAATATAAAAATATTTTTGTAAATCACTATGAAGGCAATACTCCTACAGTAAAATGAAAACAGATATAAGAGGCAATTCGGAAGAGAAGAAACACAAGTGGCCAAGTTAAAAACAAAACAAAACAAAAGTTCAGGGGCGCTTGGCTGGCTCAGTTGGTTAAGTGTCCCACTCTTGATTTTGGCTCGAGTCATGATGCCAGGGTCGTGAGACAGAG